ATGTGTCATGTATCAATCTAATGTTACTCATTTGTCCACCTCACTGCCACTAGTAGGCCGCAACGGCAGCCATTGGCTACTTTTCTGACCAATTTTCAACGCAGGTTATTATCACTAAAAATTTTTATACTTTGGAACAAATAACATCTGGCCCACAAGAATGGACTTTTCACCAACTAACCCAAAAAGAATATGTTAAAACTAGCAACATTATTAAAACGCCACTGATGAAAAATAATTGCCTCATACTGTTTTCTTGAGACTGCAATATGTAAGACAATATTGCCAGTGTGTTTGTCCTTCATATTAAGGACATCCTCCTTGTTGAATTGCTTGAGATGTTCCACCAACACTTTGAAAGCTTCAAACTGGTTGTTATTCACTACCAGGTGAAGAGCTGTCTCTCCTCTTGCCATCACATCTTCGATAGAATCTGCACAAGCCGAAAGCAATTCTCTTATGGGAAGAACTCTGCCTTTGATCACCGCGTAATGGAGGGGTATCCTTTCCTCTCTTCCCTTGAGCTTACACACACTCTTGTCTACTTCCAACAATTCCTTGACAATCTCGATATCTCAATTAGTCGATGCAATATGCAAGGGGGCCGGTTCAATTCAGCAGCAAATTCTTTCACGGGGAACTTACTGATAAGTCCCATGTACAAAGTTCAAGACCCAGCTAATCCTCAAACAAAACACTTGCACCAATTAGTCTTATACATTTTTAATTGTTACCAAAAAATCCTATTTTTTTTTTAAATTTTTTTTACAGACATTGTTACATCTTACTACTGTCGGACTTCCGTCAAACGGTCGCCAGAGACTCGTCGGAATGTTCAACATCGCCGGGAAGTCACTGGAGTTTCGTCGGAAGTTCACCGGAGTGTTAAGAACGTTAATGGAAGTAGCCGGAATGTTCAAAATGTTCACTGGACGTTAAGAACATCACTGGAGACTCACCGGAATGTCTAGAATATTACCGAAAAAAAAGAATAAATGAAGAAATTAGATTAAAAAAAAACATAGCAAAACATGCTAAATATTGATAAACTGAAAGAAAAAAAAATGAAACGACAAAAAACAGTAACAATGGGAAAAACATATGCCATTTTTCAATTTTTGTAAGGTTCAAGCAAATAATCTCCAATATTGATCAGACTGAAAAGTAAATTTTGAAACTGTAAAATGTTATAGTTTCAAAGCAAAAATCTATTACGCATTTATCCTTATTAATTAAACTAAAAAACACGTTATGAAACTGTAAAATTTTATAGTTCTAAAGAATGTTATAAAACTGTAAAATTTTACAGTTTTATACCATGATTCATTCTAGCACCAAAAAAATTTGAAACTGCAAAAATTTATAGTTTTAAACCATGATTCATTCCAGCACCCAAAAAAATTTGAAACTGTAAAATTTTACAGTTTTCACCGCCTGTAACTAAAACTCGAAAACTACTTGTTCAGAATTTGAAAATTTTCTCCATTAGAACAGAAAAACATAAGTGTATAGTAGAGAAAGCAAAAAAAAAGAGAAAGAGATCGAAGGAGAAACGCAGATATAGAGAGAGGATTGTACTATAGCAACTATTTTTTGTTTAGATCTAGCCAAATCTGATGTAGATCTACATCAGATCTGAGTAGATCCACTCATCTTCTTCGTCGGAAATATATCATCTTCGCCGTCGGTGAGGGTGAAGTCATGAGTTCATTTCGATGGTTGGTGATTTTCAGTGAACCCCGATCAATGGAGAAAGATGTGATCACCTGTAGTCGTCCATGACAAATAAAATGAGAGAAAAATACAAAAAAAAGGAGAGAGGAAAACGTAAAGAGTCAGGCAAAAAACAGAGAGAGAGAGAGAGAGAGAGAGAAAAGTAAGACTTTTGGGTCTACTCAAAAAGTTACTAAATTAAATAATGTCCACATGTTTCACATACCTGTGGGTGATTTCTCCTTCTTTCACCAACACCAGGCCCACAGGCTACCTAGCCCATAATTGGTAGAAGTTGAAAGGCCCACGAGCTTCCTTACTTGAGCATTGCTCTCGTGCTACCAAATATTATATATATCCAGTTGATGTGGTATAGATAATTGTGAGACAATCAAAAGACATATAATCATTTGTATAAAAAAAAAAAAAATTAAGTCATTAAAAATATTTTTTCTCCTTATTCCTTTGTTAAGAGAAAATGAATTTGTTCACACACTACATGGATTATGTTTGATTCAAAATAGTGGATTTCATATTCAAAAATATATTGATCTCATTAAAAATTGTGAATTTCATGTTTTAAAATCGAACTCTTAATTAAGACGGATAAGTTTCGACCACTTTCTAAATTATTGTCCTCTTATTTTTTTTATTATATTTATATTCTTCTTTTAATTCTTTTTTTATGATTGTGTTAGTCTTACTTTTTAGATTATAAATGTCTAATGGAAACTATGAATTCCAAACCTTTAAAAAAAATAAAAATGAAAAGCAATCTAAAAAAATATCCATACATAAATTTGTTACTAACAACAAATTCTAGAACCAAATAAAAGTGAATTTAATTAATTATTAAAAATTATAATTAATATTTAAATGTTAAAAGCCACGCTTTAATATTTTGCCTAAGGCCACGAAAAGGGTGGGGCCGCTGCCGCTGGCTGTCTCTCCTTCCATCCATCTATTGAGTATTAAAGGGTCATCTTTTATCAAGTTAAGTAGGAGTGTAATTTTGGCTCGTAACTTGTGGGCGGCTCAAAATTTGCTCGTTGCTTGAGGTCGGCCCGGCTTGTTAATGTTTGTTTAGGTCCGAATCCAAGCCTAGCCCGAGACCTTGGCCCAGGGCCTGGGTCATCATTTTGAAACTCGGTCCATGGGCCCGCTCATAGCCCGCCCAAAAGCCCAGCCCAAGGCCCAGTCCGCCCGGCCCCGCCTGATGCCCAGTGCTATTTTTAATGAAAAATAACAAAATTTTAGTAAAAAAAATAAAAAATTGTTTAAGCCCTCCAAAGCCCGAGCCCAGGCCCAAACCCAGGGGCCCAGCCTGCTGGCCCATCCAAGACCTGAATACCCCTAGGCTTAGGTCTAATTTTTGGGCCCACCAAAATTACACCCCTTAAGTTAAGCAAGTAATCTACATCTTCCATCTGAGCAGCCTCAATGAGCTTTCTATCCATTATTAGATGGGGAACAAAAACTTTTGAACCCATAACTGGTTGTCCGGCATTATGTGATATGGTGTGCTAAAATATTTTAAATAAAATTACTTTTATTGGTTTGGCCAAAAAATAATGAGAGATGTACTAAAAACCAAACATCTTGGACCAAGATCAACATTTCTTCTGTCTAATTATAAATACTTAATTAGCAATTGGAGTGAAAATATTATCAATTGAAAAAATATATTAGAAAAACTTAATGAGTAATTGCATATTGAAAAGTAAGAAAAATTAAAAGGTAAATTACATCGTTTGGGAGTTAACATTTTAGCTTAAAAGTTCAAAGTCACTAAAAAAAAAAAAATCAAAAAACCAACAAATTATACCAAAAAAAAAAAATCAAAAAATTCATTTTCTCTTGTCTTTTTTCACTTTTTTTTTTGGGGTAAAAATAAAAAAGTCATCCTAAAATATACTAGTTTTTCTTACCTTATATTTTAGCTAAAAAATCCAAAAATTGCTAAAATAGCTTATTCCCAAATGAGTAGTTTCAATTTGAATAATTTGATCCATACACTTAATTATTAATATTTTTTTTTTTTGCAATGTGGTCCCTTCATTACTTAGTCTTAAAATTTAGAATGAAAAAAAAAATGTGTGTAAAATTAGGAGGACCAAAGTAGATTTACAACAAACTACAGCTACTAGCTCTCTAGTTTTATATGTGAATTTTTTTTTATTTATTTTTTTTCATTCAAAATGTTAACAACACATAACAGAGGGATTACATTGCAAAATTAAAAATTTTGGGATTAAATTATTCAAATTAAAACTATCCAATAATAAGATGTATTTACATGACCTTAAAAAATAAGAACAATATGATAAACTAATAAAACAAGATTGGTTGGGCATACAATCCTATGGTATTCTTAGAATGCTTGATAATTTTTTATCTTCATATTCTCCTAGCCATTGATCACTCAGCAGAAATGGTTAGTTTAGAAATTGACATTTTTAGTGGCATTTTAGTTTTTTTATAAAAATATGTACAAAAAATAAAAAGAATGATTTAACAACTTATAGTGATTTTTTAACTTTTTAACAGTTTTCGAGTTCTCAATTCAATTTTTTTTTAATCTTTTTTTTTTTTTTTTTTTTTGCTTTTTAGAAAGGTACAAATTTTGTCATTTTTTTTTTTAAATTCACTAAATACAAAAAATAAAAATAAAAATAAATACAAATATTCATTACATTTTTTAATTTTTTTGTATTCACTAAAAAAATAGATTTCTTCTCAAATATTTTACTTTTAACAAATTTAGATTAGGTGCATCTAAAAAAAAAAAAAACTAAAATACGAAAAAAAGTTCACAAAAGTCTAAAGACAACAAAATACAAAAAACAAAATACTAAAAAATTATTTTTGAATAATCAAAATCAAACACAAGTATCTTCTATTCCTCTTTTGTTCAACCATGCAAACCAGATGCCCTACAGCATTAAGATCTTGCATTTGATACACTGTTTTTCTGTTTCTTTATTCTGTTTTCTAACAACATTAAAATTTCTAATAAAGATTTAGACCTCTTCCTTAAGAAAATTATTTAGATAAATCAATTCAAACCAAAGAATTTTCCTTTCAGCAGCCTCATCACCTAGACAATGGAAACATGAAAAATTTTCATCTTTTTTTTTTTTTTTTTCTCCCTAGCTTCCATTCCACGGCTAGCTGGTCAATTTCTCATACTACACATAGGTAGACCAAGTTATTGATAATTATGAATCGTATCCCGATCCCTTGGCAGACAATTAAATAAAAAAAAAATTAACAAATTTCTTTAAGAAACATAAATAGTACTTGGCCTAACAAAGCAAATTGAATGACAGTACTCTTTTAACTTTCACCGATTGAACTTAATATAGTTCTTCCAAAACTAGTATCTATCAAGACAATAGAAGTAACAATTCAAAATAAATAGATTTTTATTGTAGCATACACACATTTGTAGACACACACACACACACACACACACACACACAAAGAACAAAAAGAAGAAGAAGAAGAAGAAGAAGAAGATTAACATTTTCACTTTACACACTTTCTTGATTTCTAGGCCATACTGCAGTCCTTGCCTTCTTCTGATAGTTCCTTGCCACCCTGGTTGCAATCGGTATCAGTAGTGGTAAGAGGGAGGAAATAACAGTAAAGAATATCCACAACTTGTCATTCGATGTAATGGCAGCCATACAAGTATCATATGTTACTATGAGGGCAAACATTGCAATATGCAATTCCAATTGCAAAGGGAATCCACTTGTAAGGCAATAGATCATTTGAAGAGAGGTAAAAAACCCAATTGAGTTGAATAGAATGAACAAACCATAAGATACCCAATTTTTAGAACCCATGATTGCTTGTCCTGCTGTATGTGGTTTAGAAACATTGTTGTTGCTAGACATGGAATCATCGGCCCACACACCGCCTGGAGGACTATGCACGGTTTGATAAGTTGCTGTTGCGATAAGTACAGCTATCACAAGCATGGTGTGTCGTGCTTCGCTTGGTGAATCTCTATCCATGTTGTACTTGAAGTAGTCTAGCAACCGTTTAGCAGGAGATTGACGCTGACGATTCGGTGTTGATTGGTCACTCGAAGGGTTAATTGCAACAATTGCTTGATTTTGATTCATTCCAGGTTGTGTTAAAGAGTGCGACTCTTCTGCCTTCATAGCTCCGGCTTGCCTAAGGATCTCCTCGATTTCACTATCGCCTGCTTCGCTTTGGAAAAAGAGTAAAACATCAAGAGCTGTAAGACCTTTCTTGTTCAAGGAATTGATCTCTAATGCCCCATTAGAGACAACATTTTTCTTAAGCACCAAGTCAATCACCTGCTCACAATTTTTCATTACCACTTGTTAGAAAAAACGAAACCAAACAAACAAACAAACAAACAAAAAAACAAAACAAACAAACAAACCAAGAGAAGTTACATAGGAATAGGGGTCAGGGATCTTCTGTCCTTAGAATCCCTCCCATCCCCTTATGTCCAATGCAATCCCAATTGTATGATGTGGTGAGAGTCATGAAACACAGGAATATCGAGGCACGATTGTGTAACTGAGAGTGCAAGGGTATAAAGACTTGGGGGAGGGGTGGGAAAAGGATCTCAGCTACCTCACAATTTTCCGTCTCAATTTTTTTTCTGGTTAGAAGCAAAGATAGAAAAACCAAATAGAAATTGTATGGACAAAAACAAAATTTTAAACAGAAAGGTCACAGAATAGACACGAGGGTTACTTTTTCATAATGTAACATTTCTTAAAATGAAAACGTGAGAAATAACATAGGTAGATACCTCGTACTGTTTTTTTGAAACTGCAAGGTGCAAGAAAGTGTTCCCTTGGTCATCCTTCCTATTTAAGACACCCTCTTTGTTGAATTTCTTGAGATGTTCCGCCAAGTCTTTGAAGGCTTCAAATTGGTTGTTCTTCACAGCCAAATGAAGAACTGTCTCTCCTCGGGCTGTCACGTCTACTACAGAATCTGCACTAGCTAAAATCAATTCTCTTATCACATCGACCCTGCCTTTGATTGCCGCATAGTGAAGGGGAATTCTTCTTTCTCTTCCTTTAACTAGGCAGAGTTTGTGATCTGCTTTCAAAAGCTCCTTCACAATCTCAACATGCCCATTAGCTGAGGCAATATGCAATGGACTCAAACCGTCTTCGTTGAGTTCTTGGGAAAATTCTTTCCTCGATTTCATGATCTCTTTCACAAGATTAAAGTGGCCAACCATAGAAGCAATATGTAAAGGAGTTTCTCCATTTTCTAACGCGGAAGTGTAGAGAAAACGAGGATTATCTTCGATCAATTTTAGAAAGTTGTCAACATTTCCTGTCCAACAAACCTGGAGCAGCCTTCTGTCCATCCTTGTAGATCAATCCCACAACTTGAAAATATATCGACCTTGAAAATGCTTTTGGAGAAACAAGATTTTAAACTGCTGATGAGTACCACTTGTTATATTTTATTTTTGAAGTTTTTGACTATAGATTAATTTATCTAATGAAGTTTGAATTAGGACCCCATTTCAACTGATTCCCATCATTCCTTCTGTAAATATTAAAGTCCATAGCCACCCAGATGACATTGCTACATGGAATTAAAAATAAAATTAAAAAAACTTGAGTTCGCAAGCATAAGAATCCTTGAACAATTTTTTCATAAATTACTTGGCTAGAGTAACAACTTTCTTAATAATCCAATGTAAAAAAGAAGCACTATCCTCCCGAGAGTTTTGAGGTGTAAATTGTCCCCATACATATGGCTCTAGAACATCTCAAATTATTAGGTAAGAGTCTCTCTTCAATCAGCAAGCAATTCTCATTTCTTGTAGGACTTTCAGTTTTGAATCCAAATCCATTAGCGTTTAAATTTAAATTTGAGCAAGGATTTGTGTAGTATAAAAAAATAATAAAAAAATAAAAAAATAAATAAAAATAAAAATTAAAAAAATAATTTTAAAAACGAATTTTTTTCTCTTTAAATTTAAGATCTAAACACATCCTAAAAGTTTAACTTATTTATAGTGTTAAAAAGTAGCACAAATTAGTTCATATGCATTTGACTAAGATTTGGGAGAAAAATTCTTACCTACCTTAAACTAGGAATTATTGGAGCATATTCTTCATGAGTCTGCATTTTGGGATGTACACTGGTTGCTATATTATAATGTGTTTTTTTTTTTTTTTTTCTTCATGGATTGGAACTATATTAATGTGTTGAAATTAGTGATCTGGGGATGTTGTTGCCTGGATTAAGTATTTGCCATGTCACATCACTAGGTCAATGATAATATTATTTAAATTGAATATTATATTAGGAGTCATTTATTTTTCCATTTCAAACCTGTAGGGAATTTGATGAGGCAGGTTGTTACCCTCCTTATAAAATAAGAACTAAAAACAAAAAATTCAACCTTAAGTATCTCAACAATCACGGGTAATGCTACATAATACTTTTTTTATCAATTATAAATATTTATCATATATCTACTTTTATATATCAATATATATTTAAAATTTTTATTTTATTTCTTTATACTTCTCACAATTCATCTATTTGACATCCTTAATCACCTAATTTCTCATGTGATGTTTTGTTTGTTATGGCTAAAATAGCCTATTTTGTCTTTTGTGGCTAAAATAGCCAAAAAAGCCCAAGAACCAACTTGCCAAACAGAGGCTTAATCACCTAATTTCTCATTACATCCATATTCTTTCAAACCCTAACTCTACTTTATATGCTATTGCTCAACCACTACCTTCAACCATCACCATAGTTAGCTTTAGTGGAAGGGGGGCAACTTGTGCACTCGAAACAAATTTAATTGGCTTAAAAGCTAATTCGAATAACAATTGATAACTTATTTAGGCTCAATCTCTTAACACAATATCTTCAACTTAAATAGACTCCAAAATTCCATGTTACACAATTAATAATTATATTATTGGTGCACAATAAAGTTTTCTATGATTGTTCTAAAAATAGATCTGTGGAGTGCGATGTTGAATGTCATAAAAGGTATAAGTGAAACCTTTCCTAACACCAATTGATTTTAGGAGAGATGGTAGAACTTTGTTCTAAGGTGATTTCAGTGCCAAGTTGTCATGGGTTCAAGTCGCAAGAGCATCATTGTGATCTAAAAATAGGCTTATTGAGCGTGATGTCGAATGTTATTAAAGACATAAGTGAAACCCTTATCAATTCATTTTAAGAGAAATGACAGAACTCGTTCCTACAATAAATATATGTGATTTGTTCCTATGAGACGGTTCAAGAAATACATGCATCCAATAGTTTTTACAAATAAATTTGGGGTTGTGTTTAGATTTATGGTTTAAAATAAAAATATTTGACTAATAATCACACAAAGAGATAGTTTAGATAGATTTTAAGATTGAATTTGAAAAAGTTTAGATGAATTTTAAGATTGAATTTAAAAATTTTACCTTGACGGATTATGATAATTTAAAATAACAATGCAAAATATTTATTTAAAATCCTTCATGCTATAGTTGTAAAATAATTATTTTCCTGTTCTATTCATACACTTTGAGCCACTGTTTTTCACTTATTAAGGGTTGTTATAGGGCTGTCTTAGGTTGTTTAGTTAATTCATGCTTTTATTAGTTTATTTGTTGTCTTATATGTTCGCATATATAGCTTGTTGTATGTTGTTCTTGGCCTTTGTTTAATTTCCATGTTAAGATGCCTCATTTTAACAAGCAATCTATCATCCATTTCTTTCATTTAAGAGTTGTTTCAACTTGTTGATGGTTATTCAAAACATGAGCTAGAGATCTATGCTTAATGGCTTAATCTCTACGGAAGTTCATCCCCAACGGCATAGTCTCTCTTTCATGTTGAGAATCACTTCCTATTTGACACACTTCTCATTTAGTGGACGTAACCATCACCTTGGACAAATGGACTAAAGAATGGAAATGTCTAAAATTGCTACAATGAACCAATCCACATAAAGAAAATGAGTTATATTGCTTGGACTCGGCCGGACGTTATGCCAAGTCTATTGTGTCAAGGGTTGTCTAACATCAATTCATAATGTTTCGATGAGCCTTAAAGCGTTCCTACCTCCCTCTTTGAGCTTACTCCATGATAGGAGGGAGAGGTGGTCATTGATTCATTGCATTCATTGAATTTTGTCTAAATTGTTGCCGAAATCATCAAGCAAACAAATTGCTTATTGATGGTTTTGGAAACGATTCAAACCTTCTCTTGAGGCTTTCCCATGACAGAGAAGTGTAAGAGGGACAAACAGAGCTCAGAAAACTCTGTCCACACTATTTTCACCTCAGAGCACAAAAACAAGATTTTGCATAAAATTAAGACACGATTGGCCTTATTTGGACCCGGTCAGGCTTCATTGGCAACCGGCCATCAATGTTTGGTCAACAGCATGTTTTGCAGAAAACAGAGGGCAGTGGCTAAAGGTGAAACAGAATGGTCTGGGCAAATAAAGCAATTTCTAGATGCTACGCATGCGAGCATTGTGCATCCTTATGCATCCTTGTTTGATGATTAATCATTAATTATTATTGTTGTAATTAATTGTTGTTGTTGTACTTAATTAATATATTGTTGTAGCCATTGTTTAGTTGTAATTGTTATAGCTAGTTAACTTAGATAGCTAATTCATTTCTTTAGTATTCATTAGAATTTGTAAATAGGTAATTAGCTTAGCTTATTTATTCATTCGGTTTTGTAATAATTAGTTTAATTTGGACTCTCAGACATTGATTCGCACACTCTTATGCAAGGGCCAACATGTAATAAGTTATACGTCTTCCAATCCCACGTCTTTCTCCATTTTATTTACCTGCTCACGATGGCTAGTATAGAACATCATTTTTCGAATTAGCATATTTATGCTTTGCATCCATTTGTCTTGCAGGTATCCAAGGTTCGGCTCATCATACTAACCAAATGTTTAAATTCATTGCTTGAATACGTGCTTTATCGCATGTTTTGGATGGAATCGTATGTCATGTTCATAGCTGAGCCAATTAAAAATTACATAAATATGTGCGTTACATTTAGTCATATTGCATTAGTTAGGAGCATATATATTTTCTAATTATTTTTCTTTGTTTTGGCTCGGAGTACTAGGTGAGCAATTTTGAGTTTTAGTATCTTGCATCGAATGTTTGTGTCACCATGTTAAGCATGCTTTCCATGAGGCTAAGTGCTTAAATTGATATATCTGCTTGAATGCCTAGAGATGAAGGCTAATTGCAAAAATTGATTAATGTGCATACAAACTCACATTTTTAAATGACGAGTATCAAAAACAATTTTCAAAATGAACATAAAATCAAATGTTCCAAACTTTGCAAATTAGTCTATCCTTGTGTGCAACACATAGTAAAAATAACTAATAATCAGAACAAGAGTGTAGCAGCGCCCGCGTGGGACCTCGTGCTACAGTTCGGACTCGATTTGTGTCACGGTTCTAAATCCGAGCCGAGACCTCCGGGAACTCCAAACGAACACAAACATGGATAATCACCGAGTGTTCAAACGGTGACGTCCAAGTCTTGAGGACGGTCAAAAATGGGGTGTCTACAAAGAGCATATAATGTAAAATAAGAATCATATCATGATTAGTAGAGGTCGATCTTTGATCGGGTGAGTGGGGTGCTCAATTCATGACCTTCCCCTCTCGTACCTAAATTCCTGAGCCGAGACACTTTGGTGATGACGGATAAGTGGCCTTTGGCACAAGTCTCGGGTTTCCTAAATTTTCCAAAAATATTTAGATAGTGACTCTGTAATCTGGCAAAGCAGTCCATTTTTGGCATTTGATTCAAACATTGATTTTTCAAAAGAAATTGTCGGATTTGGACTCTTTTTATGCTTTCACTGTTCCACATTGCACTTGTGAAATCAGATTCAGAACCACGGGAGTCTGAACTATAGTGCTAGTCGTATCCGAAAGGAGCATGAAAAGTTGAGCTACAGTGGCTTTCCTGAGCCATAGGTAAATTCCTCGAAAAAGTGCGTCCCTAGATTCGAGATTTTCTTTGACCATCAGTTGCAAGGCAGTGATGAAGAAAGGGCTGAACCAAGCATCAACGCTAGCTAGACCAAAGAAGATGACTCGGAAAATAATAAGGTTGACATGGGGGCAACACTAGCTGATCTCTTGACAGATCCTGCGACAGACCCGGAGAACTTGGGGGATAACTTTACTATCTCCATGATCGGGGAGGAACTTGGTGTGGACCAAACCAGTGGTATTATGGATGCATCGAGGGCACTGTTTCTTACTTGGCAGTTGGAGAAGGGCTTTTTTTCCAGTTCAGAATTGGATAACGATGAGCCAGAATCTGATTCCACTGAGTCTGTGGAGTCGGGATAAGATTTGTGTCAGTCTAGGGGGTCTGAGTTTCTTGCATTCCTGGGGGTGGTAACCCAGATGCTAAGGTCCTGTCAAGGTCCTCTTTTTCTTTTGCTTTTAAGTCTGTTGTAACTGAAGAGCCAGAACTTATGAATGAGAACACTGCAGATTTTGTGTATTACTCTGTACCGCTGATTTATTGTATTGACCAAGATTTTCAGAATTTTAACAAAAATGAAAGCGAAGAAATTCCTCTGGC